AAAATGGTTAATTTAGGTTTATTTTGATTTTTTTTTTGGTGGTTACGAGGTTGGTCGAATTGACCAAACCTGTTTTGAGATAGAGTAGAGAAAATAACAGATAAACTATTAAGTTTTGTTTAAAAAATACGTTTGAAATTTATTTAGGAGGTTTTAGGGATTACACAAAGGAAATATGAGATTTTTAAGATGAGGAAAAGTATTTTTAATTTTAACATGAAAATTACTTTGCACATGGACTATTCAAAACAAATACTCAATATATTCATTGACAAATTTTATTAAAAATACTTCACTAAGAAATAAAACTTTTTGTATGTGAAAGACTGCCAAATGTTGTGAAGATATACTCACTATATTGAGAGTTATAAGTATTAAATCTATAAAGACTTTAAACAAGTACAAAAAGGTCACGAGGGTTGGTCAATCTGACCAACCCCGTGTTGAGAGTGTTATATGGAATAGTTGTTAAGTGGGGTTCCTTTTTAAATAAAGCAGAGTTCTCTGTCTGTCTGCTGTCACAAGTTGGCATGAGGAACTAGTCAAACCAAGTTCAATTTACTTTGGTAGAGGAACTCAGGTGATTCCTCTCAAAGATTAAGTTTTATAGATAAACAGCTGGATGAGCAGAACTAGCCAAACCAATTTCAGTTTACTTTGGTAAACAAACTAAAGTGACTCCCCCAAGAATTAAGTTTGTATGGATAAGCAGTTGGATGAATGGTAGGAGTTTAGAAGCCATTTCACTTTTACTACCTTAATGAAGGATTGAGAGCTCAATTGATTGAGAAGTTTGGCAGCAAAATATGTGAAGCTGATGCCATATGATGATAATGATATGATGACAGTGATGATAATGCTGAACATAGCAAGGGTATTTTTACATCAAATGGAGAGTTTAGGGCTTGGGGATCTAAGGCCTTCTGGTTTAACCCCAGTACTTGATGTGGTTCTAGTAAATAATATGTATATGCAAATAGACCACTTTTGGTCAACAATTTTAAGTAGTACACTATGAATGCCATTACTACAATATAACCAAATATAATATCATATTGTGCCAATATTTTGTTATGTCAGTTGTTGAGAACATGTAGTGATGTTAAAGGTAAGCTACTGAACCAGGGAGTGCTGAGCTATGTCAGTATTTGAGAAGGAGTAAAATGTAAGTTATCAAACTACAGGTGGTTGAATGAATCATGTTAAAACAATTGTGGAGCTTAACCATGTCGTTACAGTCAACATCATGCTCTGTCTGACAACTGTGCATCTTGACAATAGTTCTGAAGTATACTTTCCATTGCAAGTAGCTCAGCCGTAAGCACTTCTTCCTGCAATCTTTTCATAATTCATCTAGTGTATAGGGACAACAGTTTTCTAGTGCCAGTTTTAACAGTCGAGTCACAAAGAAATCAATAGCTGTTGCATCTGGCTCCTTGAGAGCTACATCTTAATATGGCATATATGTATAGCATGGATATTTTTTTCATTTTCCAGCTTCTTGAAGTATGGGGTTTTTGAACAGGAGCTATGTCTAAAGCCTTATGCTCGTGAATCCATACCCTGTTGACTTTGTTTCCATGCAAAACCAGTATTTTGTGTAGTGCAAAGATAAGAAAAACCTTTAGTGTAATATTAAGTTAAGAATGTGTGGAGGAGTAAGAGGGAAGTGATGAGTTATGTTAGTTGTTGGCAACATGTAGAGGAGTAAGAGGTAATTTATTGGAATAATGAATACTAAAATATGTATCAACTATTGAAGATATGTATTTCTGAAAGATGTAAGTTATCTGGCTAGGGAGTGTTGATTGATGTTAGTTGTTGAGAACATATAGGAGTAAGAAGTAAGTTATCAGGCTAGGGAGTGTTGATTGATGTCAGTTGTTGAGAACATGTGTGGGAGTAATGAAGTAAGTTATCTGGCTAGGGAGTGTTGATTGATGTTAGTTGTTGAGAACATATAGGAGTAAGAAGTAAGTTATCTGAGCTAGGGAAAGTTGATTGATGTAACTTGTTGAGAACATGTGTGGGAGTATGAAGTAAGTTATAGGACTAGGGAGTGTTCATTAATGTCAGTTGTTGAGAACATGTAGGAGTAAGAAGTAAGTTATCAGGCAAGGGAGTGTTGATTGATGTCAGTTGTTGAGAATGTGTGTAGCAGTAAATAGTAAGTTATCAGACCATGGATTGTTTAGCTGTGTCAGTTGTTTAGAATGTGCAGAGGAATGGGAGGTGCTTAATTGTGTCAGATGTATAGAACATGTAGAATAGTGAGAGGTAAGTTATTAGACCAGAGATTGTTGAGTTGTGACAGTTGTTGAGAATGTATGGAGGATTAAGAGGTAAGTTTTAAGCTAGCAAGTGCAATTATTTCAGTTGCTGAGAGCTTGTGGAAGAGTAAAAAGTAAGTTACTGAATTAGCGAATGTTTAGTTTCATCATTAGATGGCCATTAAACAATCCACCAAGTGTCAATAACATTTTCAAATTAAGGAAATAAAGTCTGGAAACCCTTTATATTCACCATGATGTTTCTGTTTCAGTTTAATAAAGTACTAATTTAATCATTAAACAGTTTAATTTCAAAATTCCTATACCTTTAAGTAAAGTTTGGACCATTTTCAGTTATTTCTTCAGTAGGTTGATGTAACTATTAGACACTTTATTCTCCTGCAAAACAGTGATATAAGATTATCTGAGAACATTGGAATATTTAGAAATACATGTGTTATGTAAGTAATATAGAAAGATCACAGTCACTGATTGTTTCAAGGGATTTTACTGTAAGTTGATAACTAAATTTTCAATAACATGGTAAATACATTTATTTTTATTCACAAAATTTTAGTACATGTTTCTGTACTTCGTGAATTCTAGACAAATGAGATGCTCTTAACTTAAAAGTGCACATATACAGCCCCTAGAAACAGACACACGTTTTCAATCTTGCCCAAGACTTGTCTCTCTATCCTTTTTTTTCATCTGACCATCTTTTTGGATACTTTGTTAAGCAATGAGGAGTAGGAACAGGGATTGCTTATTTCCCTTCCTCCCCAATATTTCAAAATAAAATTTCTTTTCACAGTGAGAGATAATAGCTGATCTTGTGGTGCCTCTGGCAGTTTGCATGGGTATTTTGTGGCATTTTACTACTGTATTGAAGTTGTATTAATGCGTTTTCTAGCTTTTTGTTTATATGTGGAGATAGAGATGTTGGAAACTTTGGTTTCCCTTTCCCAATGAATGGACTGGTCTGATAATGTAGGTATGTGACATTCTCGGAAGTTACATTCTCAATCATTCTACAAATTCACTGCTGTTGTGGATGTTAAAGAAAGGTGCTATACTGACTCTTTAAGTCTTTCTTTCTGCATATTTTGTAAACTTAATCACAGGAACTATTCATCCTGTTTATCTTAACAGTCAAGAAAGATGCAGATGCAGTAGCTTTCATGATTGGAGACTACTGAATTCTTACTGTACCTTGTTATTTTGTTTTTTATTCTTTATATACATTTACTTTTTTTTACTCAAATCTTTCTTTTACAGATATTTTCAACTAATATTAACATTTGTACAGGTCTTACCAAATTCTAACATAAATCTTGTTGTTTTTTAATTAGGAAAAGAAGAAGAATCTGAATCTTGTGATAAAGTAAAAGGAGAAACAAACAGCACGAAAATTCTAAAACCTCCTTCCAGGTGGTCTTTGAAAAGGTAAGTATTATGGTTAATGTGTTACTAAGTCACTTTTAAAGTGTTAAGTATTAATGCTATTGGTCAGTCTAGTGGAAGTGTATAAACCTTATGGGTTTGTTACCAACTTACTTAAGAAAGTTGAAGGTTAGTGTTTTCAAAAAGTTACACAACTTATTCATCATGGTAGTCAGATGAAGAGAAGGGACTTACTGGTTGCTTGGTGTGATGGTTAAAATAAAAACCTTATTCTAACTGATATTTCAGCTCTATAAAAGCAGCTTTCATGTGACTAAAATGTATCTTATTTGATGTTTCAGCTGTACTTGAAGTATTTCTCATACAAACAAATATTGTCGACCACCCTAACCACCTGGCCATGTCGGGCCACAGAATACAAGGGTTAATTATTCATACTTTTTTTATTTTAAAATCTACCTGATTTTGTTTTCATTGACTATTCCTTGTTTGTTTGTTCCTATTGCTAAGACTATTTGGTTATTCTTGGAAATATACAAAAGGAAGAATGGTATTGAGGAATCTATACACAAGGTGGCCCAAAAATATTTACCCACATTCCAAATGCTCATATGACTATAGTAAAAAGCCAGCAAAACATTTTTATTAATATTTCATAGAACAAATGAACTGTACATACACTGCTGCATCATTTGAGATGCTCAAACTGGGCTCCACCAGTGTTCAAGCAATCATGACACCTATGATGACATGCTCTTACACAATTTTCAACTCTGATTTCATGGAAAGCATTTCTGATCTGTTGCTTTAATTCATCAGTGGTTTGGGGTTTATAGTTAGATATCTTCTAATGTTATTTGAAATCAAAATATAACTTTTAGAATATATATACAGAAGTTGCATAACATAAAGATTGGGTATATTTTTGGGCTATCCTATATAACTTATAGTTGCATAAAACAAATAACCTCAGCTATGTCTATGTTTGAAATTTCAAAAATATTGAAACACTTAGCACATGTAAATAAACTTTAAGAAGACAAATTTTGTGACTTACCAGTGTAAGAGCTGTGTGAGTTTTTGCTGGTATAAATTAATACACAATACTGGTAAGGAATTTCATAGACAGTTCTGAGTAATGACAGTTTTTTTTAATATTAGCTATAATACTATGATACAATTTTTACAACATTTTCCATGCTGTTAAGTTATAAAATGTCTGTAAATATCACAAGAGGGTAACATGAATGTGTGTATAGCCTAATGGCTGTGTAACTTATTTTGATCTCAGACATTGTCATAAAAACAAATTGGCTCTAATGTGTGTATTTTTATGTTGAATGCTAGACATAGCTTGAGGCCCAGTTTGGCCAGTGATGGACAAGCACTTTTCTGCTGTATTTTTATCATTAGTACAGCAGTATAATTCATAATTCATAAAATTTTAAGAGAATAAAAAGGAACTTATTAGCCTATTAAGAATGTTCCTTTCAGCTCCCAACTATAACCACCCCTTACTACTCGTGTATTCATCCAATCTTTTCTTAAACTCAGTTAAATTTTCTGCCTCCACCACACTTGAAGGTAGCTCATTCCAAAAGCCAACCACCCTGTTTGAAAAGTAATACTGTCTAAACTGTATACAACTCCTATGCTGCCAAAATTTGAACTTATGACCCCTTGTTCTATTGTTTTCACTGCTAAACACCAAAAAAAGTTTGATGGATCTATAGTATCAATACTCTTAATAATCTTAAACACCTTAATCAAATCCCCTCTGATCCTTCTCCTCTCCAGAGAAAACAAGTTTAGAGATTTCAGTCTCTCCTCATAGGACAATCCCACCATCTCATGTTAAATGTGGTTTAAGGCTGGTTGTTTTTTTTGTGTTTTTTAATTTGCATTTAACACTGTGCTTAGAAAATTACATTCACAGTTTCAGTTCATTAGATATTTTAACAAAACTTATTAACTAAACATCCATTATTCTAGAACTTCTCAAGGTGTAGTGTAATTTGTTTTTAAGATAGTAAATGTCTGTATGGTTTTGTTTTTTAACAGGAAGCAGTTTGGTAGACAAAATAGGAAATTGAGGAGAGTTTGTCGTAAGGTTGTTAAATCTCAGGCTTTCTACTGGATTGTGATCATTCTGGTATTTCTAAATACCATAACTTTGGCTTCTGAACACTACAAACAGCCAAGTTGGTTAGACCACTTCCAAGGTAAAGTACAAGCACACCTTTATCTCTATTCTGGTATGAAATATAAACTTATATGAAACTCGAAGAATAGATACAAGTAGAAACTTTAATCCCAGAAGTATATCTTTGTGGGGGGAAGTAAGTAATAGCAGAGTAGGGAATAGATAAATTGTAAAGAAACACTTTTTTACATCTGTTATACATCTTAGGTCCCTGTAACGATGACTGGAAGTACATGATTGTTTGTTTGTTAAACACTAAGCTGCTCAATGGGTTATCTGTACTGTACCCACTGTGGCTATCAAAACCCAGTTTTTAGTGTTGTAAGCCTTCAAAGCCACTGCTGTGCCACTGGGGGACAGAACTACGAGATTAACACATCTGTTTTGGATTGTGCTATATAAACAATGAACAAAACACTTGTATTGTCCATGTTACAGGTATACTGATAAATCTACAGTATAGCTTCCCTTCTATTTGAACTAACTTTTTATTCTATGTATTACTTTACAGTCAGAGAAATATATATTTTTGCTTTCTTAAAGCTATTGTGACTTGCACATTATATACTTACAGTATTGTTAAAAAGCAGAGCAACTCCTTGAAGCCATTATTTTAGGGGAGTTGGTGGACAGGAAAGGAGAAATAAATATGTAAAAAATTACCAGTAGTGATATTATGCTTGCCTTAGTTTTATCACAGCTGTACAGAGGGCTGTAGTTATTGGAGAGTGTGATGCTATGATATGTGAATATAATACTGGAAGATATGAACCTTAGATTATCTAATTTATAGACTAAATGACATTTAGGTGTACTACAATTATTTCCAGTCTGTTCATTACCAGATTTTTAGGGAAGATGGTCATATCTGTTTAAAATAAATTACTTGTAGTTTCTACAAAACTTACCTATATACATGTCCATGTTGCTGGTTTTTCATTACTTGTCAACATTGTCATATGATGTTATATGGAAAGCACTTTGAATTGGACATTAAAGCACAACATTGTTAAAAAGAGAAATAAAATACAACCTAATATTCCATATTGGTTTTATTTAAGCCAATTTTTCACCATTATGGCTTCATCGGAAAAACAAGACACATGCTCATCGATTTAGGCTTATACAAAAGATTTAAAAATAATTTGAGACTGTGCATTACGGTGAACTTTGCCCAAGAATATATAAACAAATTGAAAGTACATGCAAACAGATATGTTATTACACTAATTAAGTACAAACAGTGAAAGTTAAAAATTCCAGGGTGATGTTTTGTTTAACTGTGGCTTATTTTCTGAAATTAGTAGAGCTTCTTTGCATTTTCTATTTAAAAAAAACAATGGCAGTTGATAGAAATGTTTACCATTGTGGGACAATCAGTATCAGTTATACCGTGTTTGGCAACAGAATGTTCAGTCACAGCACTAACTTTACTGTCTAATGTGTGTGCAGAGCTTGAAGGTGTTCATTAATTCTATCTCTAATAGTTCTGACTGTTTCATCAATGTATACAGAACCACAAAGTCTGTGTGTCAAACAATAGACATTCCTGTGGTTTCAGTTTCCTCTTAAATTTGATTTACAACCAGCACATTTGTCTGCAGGTTTACTGCATGTTTTGGATTTAAAAGCTGATCTTACTAACATATTGTTCAAAGTTCTACCTTATTTTTCAGTAATTCTGGTCTCAACACCTGATTGTATGCAAGTCTGTTTAATATGAGCTGAAATCTTAGGACTAATATATGGTATAACAACATTTGTGTGAAATTGCCTTTTTCATGTAGTTTTGTTGTGAGATAGTGAAATCTACTTGTATTTTGTTGTGGTTTTGTTTACTGTTCATTTACTATTTCTTCTGTCATTTAGTTAAACTATGAATTTGTAGTTATATTATAGTGTTAACTCATCTTCTAGCTAGAGTATGTTGAACTTGAAAATGCTTGTTTTTATTATGAAACTAATGCAAGCTTCCCCTAGTGGTAATGCACAAATATTAATGTTGTGAAGGATTATGTAAATTAACTTGTCACATGAGATGTAACCTCATGGTCTAACCACTAGATAAAAACCCTTCTTTCATCTTAAACTAGTTACTTCATGAGATATATTTAGAACAAATTATTACTAATTGTTACTTAATATTGTTACTGACCTTGAGAGGTGTTTTAATTTTAGAATACTGTGTTTTTTCATAGTTAGGTTTTTTTTTCTTTCAGTTCTTTTTCCTAATTCTTTTATTTATTGAAATTAATAACATTGATATTTATATTCTATTATTCATTAACTTTTGTATCAAGTCCTGGCCAAGCACGGATTTACTAACTCTTTTTTTCTGGAGTAATAGGTTGTGTTTTATATTTATTTTTAACAATGAATAGAACTCTCTAGTTTGCACTACAAACTTTGAAGTTACATAAAGAAAAACATTGCTGTTGCAGCAAGGCTATATGCAACACTGTGCATGAAACTGATGGATAAACAGAAAAATGTTTAATATGTCACTTTCTTTTATTTTAGAAATGATTTGATACAAATGTAGCATAAACATCCTATTTATATAACAAAGTTGTTCTTCTAATTCTTTAGATAATATTTGCAATGTTAATTTAATATGTCTTATACTGGAGGACTGAAGATCCTTCTGTGACTTGGGTGACACTTATTTAACTTCTATTTATCTCTAAAAGAAAGCACTTGAGTCTTGAAAATGCAGTGTCAAGTTTACTCTATATATTGTTTTTTGATGATATGTCTCCTGGTGGGACAGTGGTAAATCTTTGGATTTACAATGCTAAAATCAGGGGTTCGATTCCCCTCAGTGAACACAGCAAATAGCTCAATGTGGCTTTGCTATAAGGAAACACACACAAACTTTTGATGATATATAATATTTTCTTGACATGTATTTGTTTAGTACCTGATAAAAATTTGAAATTATAGAGGTTTCATCAGTCCATTTGTTTTACTATTCTTTCAAACAACAACAATAACTGACAACTTCCCAATCCATAACTTTCTCTTATAGTTGTGATCTCATACCTTTCTAAATAACTTTAGAAACCTTATATTAGAAAAACTAAAATGTTAGCCATGCATAACATATTTTTATCAAATGTTGAGCTGAGTAGTAGATGGCAGTCTCAAGGGTGCTGACTTCTCATGTGGTGGCTGGCTGCCCTGCAGGAGGTAGAAGGTTAATATTGCCAGTAGCTTTCTGTCTGTATACCGTCTTATTGATTCCCCATCTTTGGCTTTTCTTAGCTACACTATATGGTACTTTGATTTCCAACTGTTTTATTTCATCTTGCTGCTTTCACCTTACTTGTACAGAAAGGGTCAATATCCTGACATCAGAGTTGTACTGTATTTGATATAAGGGCCTCTCCTGGACCTTCTCAGCTTCTTCATATAACTTTAACTTTTGTTTTCTACTTGAGGACAAACTACTCTGACTTTTACGTGAATCAGTTGCAAGTATTATGTTGGTAGTACTATCTGTTTGCAATTTCCAGCAGTTTATAGGAAGTCTTTATTTACATAGGAAACAATTTATGGCTATGATGTCTGGTGACTGTCCATCATGATCTTTAATTATATATTGTTGGGCTACACCCTCTGTCCAATCATTATATTTTCTGTCTAGGCTGATTTCCACAGGGCCTAGTGGCACCAAATGTTTATTCCTCATGAGAGCTTCTGAGATCTGTTGGTGACCATTTATCTCAGTGATGGCTTTATAGCACCTGCCTACTTGTGACTGTCTTCTGAGGTGCCTTATAATCAATCAGACTGGAAAGTGTAGTGAAGAATTTTGCTTGTAAGCACTATTTTATCTTTTTGATGCTGCTGAGGCTTTTGAGATGTAACATAGAGCCTTTGACCAGAGTTTAAACAGATGTTTTGTATATTTTCAATCTTATCCAGCTGAGTAGCACTCATTCTGATCATTGGTAGTGCATAATCCAGGATGAAGTGGGTAAGACTAGAGCCTAAGAACGGGATATTTTTCAGCTCTATTTTCTGCTGCAACTTACAATGCATTGATGCCTTTGGTAGCCGTGATTATACTTGTTTTAATTTTGCAGATGAAGTTAAGTTGTCCATCAAAGGTTAATCCAAGGTACTTCAGTGTTTTTCAAGAGGGATGGCAGTGCCTACAAGTGATGATATTTGTTTTTCCTCATAAGAATAACCATTGTTGAATGTACATAACATGACTGTAGCTCTGACAGGATTGATTACCTTCTGTATGTCGTTGTACCATATACTAACCCTAACATGGAATGGTTACATCTTGCTTCCAATTACAGCTTTGATAGAGCCTTTGCTGTACACTAGAATGTTATCAGCAACAGCTAGCACTTAACCCACAGCATATGTTTGGACTGTCAAGGTGGGCTAAATTCATGGTGTAAAGGTTGAAGAGGAGTGACAAAAGTGGTTATTCTTGAGGCAAACTGGTATTGATGGTGGTCCAGTCTGATTGCCAGCTTCCATGCTTCATCATCTTCTATTAGTGAATGCAGCTACAATCTGTCTAAAACAATGTCTTTTTAAAAGTCATAACATAGGTAAATTAATCTATAAAAATATATGTTTATTACATTCAAGTAATTGCTTAATCTTAAATATTTGGAAAAACAGAATGTGTAAGTTACTTATATTGTTATGCAGCTTTAATAACCAAGGTTTTGATTTTTCAATTTATGTAAGAGTTTAAATCTTTTTCTTTCAATTCTGCACTTGTCATAATATATTTTCAGCATTTTTTACATGGTTAACAACATTAATATCAAAATCAGGCATCATTAGGTGTGTTATTTAGACACCTGCCTATAAAAATTGTTCCACAGGCAAACAAATTTATATTATTCAGTACATTGTTGCCCAATGGTAGGAGAGCTGAAAACTTACATTTAATGGAAAAATGTTTAATGTAGATAACAGTCCATGTGTACTTTTCACATGACCACTTTTACATTTTACACTGATGTTCTGAGCATTATGTGGGCAGGAATGGGCAGCTGTACTCTACTATAGATATCATCTAGATCTAAAGGCTACTGCCTAGGTGATCTGACTAGCTTCAAAACCCTTCCGGTGTTCATCAAACTTTTTCTTCCACTACCAAATGATGAGGGTAGTAGTGATTCAGTCTGATAGGTAAGCCTTCTAGCTACAGCCTTCTCTGAGATCTGCCACCAGTATTTTTTTCAGGGATGCTACCTGTTACCCAGCTAGGTTGACTTCTGTAAGATCCTTAAAGGTAGAGATTCATACACCATCTGGACCTGTAGCTCTATCTTTAGATGTATTTATATCTCTGTTGATACATCCAAGCTAAGATGGCTTCTGTATTTGCAGGTAGTTTAAGCCTCTATTGCACATCACCATGGTCACATTGAATAAAGTATTTATGTATAAAGGCAAGTACAAGTCTGCTGTATAAAAATACTTTTATTCATGTAATTTTGGCATTTTGAAAATAACATGATGATTCTGCCAACTATTTAGTGTTTTAAGCAGTAGATTTATTTTGTGAGTAAAAGATCTTACAAAATATCTTCTATTCTGTACAGTCTGAATATATATGCTTTATAAAACATGTTCTAGTGTTGCTTATGTCAGATAGAAATTGATGATGTTGGATGTGTTGGCCTTTATTCACAGAAGTTGCCAACATGTGCTTTGTTGTCCTGTTTACCATGGAAATGTTACTGAAAATGTACAGCTTGGGCTTCCGAGGATATTTTATTTCTCTCTTCAACCGTTTTGATTGGTTTGTAGTGATCAGCTCCATCATTGAGGCTATCCTGACCTACAATGATGTGATGCCTCAGCTGGGCGTGTCAGTGCTGAGGTGTGTTCGTTTGTTGCGTATCTTCAAAGTTACCAGGTAAGTATGAATTAACCTTTTTTTTTGGTTAACAAAATTAAGAGTCATTTAGCTTCAATTACATTGAAAAAGAAAGAGAAACTAAGTCAGAAAAATAAAAAAGAACCTATTTGAATAAAAAGATATTTTTATCTGTAACATAGTAATATTCTACCATTTTAATCTTTCAAATTTAAAAATATATATCTTGCCGCCATATTACCTGTTAATATTTATTTGCATAATATAGTAGAAAATTAATTACAATAATGGTTTTTCCAGTGTAATGGAGTTTTTAAATGGATGCATAATTTGTATGGTAGTCCAGATGTTGATGAAGAAATGTGTTTTGAATGTTAATAATACGTGTGTTTGTAAAAGAGCTTCAGTCCTATTCAAGATGAATGCGTGATTTTTGCTTATGAACTTAATATGATCAAACTTTCAAACATATCTCTTAAGTGAGCTGATACAATGCCTTTAAACTGTTGAACTTAGAATTAATTAAAATAGCTTTGGGTTATGAAAGCTGTGTATGTTTGATTTACTCTAAAGAGTTAGAAGAAAAAATTAACCTTACTTGTTAGATACAGTTTAATTTCCTAATCATATGTCTGTTTTAACAGAATATTTTAGAATCGGGACTATCAAATAAACATATTGTTTAGTTAAAGACTGGCACAAATTGCATTTAACTTCAAAATGTTAGTTTAAAATTGTCATCTATTTAAGGTGAGTATAACCTTAAGTATAACTTAAATATTTTAATTATTTCTTCGAAAATTCCATCTTTAGATGCATAAAAAAGACATGTAGAGAAAAAACTCCATCAATTTGAAAAAGTTTTAAAAATGTCTTTTGTAGTCAGGCTATTTGAAAGCAATAGCAACTACAATCTTAATCATAGTCACAAAATACTATGCTTTTATGTACATTTAGCACAATTACTAAAAAAGTTTAAATACTGTTTATGGATCATTATATCATACATGTAAATGGTCTAGCACATGGATTTGCAGTCAAAATAACAAATCATTATATTTAACAATATATGAGTAAAAAATATCAAGCCAAAATAAGTATAAATCAGATAGAATTTATAATAATAAAAGGGCATATCTGTGGGTCTGTATGTGTGTGTGTGACTGCCATAATTCTATGAATAAAGAACCTAGAAACCTGAAATTTTGCACCCATATTAAGTGAACCCTGAGAGTGTGCACCTGGGTATTACTTAACTTATCTACATCTGTGCACACATGCGCATGCACATCTTTTTAATGAGGGAAGCTAGTGAAAAATCACATATAAAAGAAATGGTTCCTTATATAACAACCTCTAATATATAGAAAAGCCAGTGTGTTTTGATAACAGTGTTTCCAACAATGGCTTTTACGTCATGTTGTTTAACAACAAAAGTATATAGGTTATACTTTTATGCTAAAATTGGTTCAGAATACACACGCTATCAACCTAATAACCCAAACAAAGCTGGGTACTTTTGCTAGTAATAAAAAGTAACTAACTTAAAAAAAGAATCTTAACAACAACAAAAAAGACTTCTGCAGCTACTAGATATTGTGATATAATAGTTTTCGAACAGACAAAAGCCGGGTATTAGAAAGTAGGAAACACATTTCAAAATCATAGTTTTTGTGAGTGTGTATGTGTGTGTGAACAAATGAAAGTGTGATGTTTATGCTATTTATTAGTAATTTACCATAAAAAGCTAATAAATAATAGAACGTAAATAATAGTTTTTTATAATCTTTTCTCATTTATTTGAAATATTATTATGTATGATCAAGAAGTTGTTTTGATGTAAGTATTACATTTTGCCTTCAGGTATTGGGCATCTTTAAGGAACCTGGTAGCTTCTCTCATCAACTCCATGCGTTCTATAGCAAGTTTACTTCTCCTGCTCTTTCTCTTTATCATTATTTTTGCACTACTGGGCATGCAGGTCTTTGGAGGAAAATTTAACTTTGACACTACACAGGGGAAACCTCGCAGTAACTTTGACTCTTTCTGGCAGTCACTATTGACAGTATTTCAAGTATGACTTTGCTCAAGTTTCTGCTTGTAACTTGCTTTAAAGTTTTAATATCATCAGTAATGCCACTAACTGCATGTGTACCGCTATAATAATCACACACCAAGGGTTTTAAAAAATGTACAGTTACACCTTCAGGGACTGGTATATTTGTTAAAACACTGAATGGTACAGAATTGTTATTAGACTCATACAGACTAGTAATTTTAAAAGCCAATTAATTTATACCATTATCTAGTTATATAGCGTTAATGATTACATCTTTTTAAAAATTTTAGATGAAATTAATACGAGTTAAAATTCATAAACAACTTGTGTATATTATAGCTTAAAAAATATTTCAAACAACCTTTCTTACAGCTTTAACGTTCCTCAATATTTAAGCATCAGGCGAGAAAGTTGAGTTAAATTTTATTACAGCTTAAGTAGTGGGAAACCTCACAGCTAAGATGAAAAGAAAAGAGATTAAGATTTCAACTGGTCTGAAAAAACTCATTTTATGAAGTGATTGTTTGAAAACAACAACATTTTTTTTTATCATACAATTTAATAGTTGAATTTGTAGAGGAGAGTTTCACTCACATAACTCAGTATTTTGAATTTTCTTTTACAATCTATTGTCAAATCTAGGAGTTATATACTTTTGTAGTGTTCTTAGGTAGTGAAATAATTTTATTTAAATGTGTGTATTGATAATGGGTCTTCTGATTGTTTCAGATCCTGACAGGTGAAGACTGGAATCTTGTGATGTATGATGGAATAAATGCTTATGGAGGTGTAGGTTCTCCTGGTGTGTTGGCCTCCATCTACTTTATCATACTGTTTATTTGTGGTAACTGTATCCAGACTATTATAGTTTATTGTAAGACTAGTATAAATAAAATGCTAATAAAAAATGTAATGCTTCAACAGCTAAGGGATTCTATATCCTTAGACTTATTGTAAATCTTTTTTTGCTAACTTTTTGACTGATAAAACATTGTTCTGTAAAATAAAAAGAACTTTTACATCAAAATCCATCAACAATTTCTGAACCATGATCAATGCATGGATTTCAATCCAATATGGAGTTTTCGTTATCAAGAAAGAAGAGAATGGGCATCAAACCATATGTTTATACAGCTCGAACTCCTGTTAAGGTACCTGAGACTCACACTTCTCTACTCCATCTGTGTTTTTCATTTCAATCCTTCATTTCTTTAGCTCAATCTTTTTTTTTTTCTAACATTTTGGGAGTCCATTCACTCAGCTCACAACGATGGGCCCCCAGTGGCACAGCGGTATGTCTGCGGACTTACAACACTAGAAACCGTGTTTTGATACCAGTGGTGAGCAGAGCACAGATAGCCCATTGTGTAGCTTTGTGCTTCATTACAAGCAAACAAACACAACTATGGTCATGTTTTCCACAATAGCTCACTTACACAACTTAATCAGTTGTACTTAATGAAGATGTACTCTAGCAGATTGAAACATTGTCCTGAAATGTCCAAGGCAGCTGCAGTCTACATAAGTCATCAGTCAAGTCCTCAATATTGGTTTAACATCCTCACTAAAAAATTTCTGTATTTTTGTTGAAAAGATTTTATTAGTGGAATGAAGCCTTTTTTTTTTTAAAGTTTAGTATTGTTGTGGCACGTTTTATAATATTGATATGGTATCATTTAAAGATTAGTTTAGGAGCAATAATTTAGAGAAAACTATTGATTTGCATATTAAAAACTAATTCATAATAAGTATTTCTATTTATTTAGGCAAATCTTGGAGAAAACCTGGTCACCTTGCATATATATAAGAAATTTTTATTATGTTTTAATGATTTTAAAATATACAAGAAAAGATTCCCTAACAGTCATAACAGATATTTTACTAAATGTATTTTTGGCCATTGCTGTGGATAATCTAGCTGATGCAGAGAGTTTGACAGCGATTGAAAAGGTAAATTTTCTCTCTCTCTCTTTTTTAAGTTTTAATGCAATTATATTTAAACACAACAAAGAACAGAAGTTTGTAATATACAGGTTGAGTTAATTAATTTTCTTTTTTTTTGTATTAACTTATCCATTGAAGGAGGAGTCTTGGGTAAGTTTTTCAAATGTTGAGATAAGTAAAACAGTAATTGGTCTGATCAAGCTTCTGTCATGTGCTGTTGTACTTGTATCAATGGGCCTTGTGTTGAAGCACGATTATTTTGCATAGTTTATGCTGTGTTTGGCTGCAAAACTGCTCAGCATGGTTTAAAATGTTGTAGGTGGAAAGCATTGTTTTAATTTATTAGGAAATTGATGTTACATTTTCCATTTGAAAACTAGAAATCATGTTCAGCATGTGATAAAATGTGAACTAATACTCAGTGCATAAGTCTGTCATCACTAACAATGTATCTTTCCCTCTATATGTTCTATGTAAGAGAGCAGGGTTATGATCATAAAGTATCTTTTAGATATATGTACTTATGAACAGTTTACTATTTATCAAGAATCATAAAGAATTATTTTTTCTGATTTTAAACATTATCACAGTATAATAATGGTTGGAGACGGCTTGAATGGGTAATGAGGAAAAACATTAATATAAGTTTAACATAACAGCAAACGTACAATGTTTCGACAAGGTTTTGTCATCATCATTAAAGTTTTTCTTCATAACCCATTCAAGCTGTCTCCAACCATTATTAGTCTCAAAGTGGGTTCCTCGTCATTCATTTATCACAGTATATCTTTTGCAAGTTTAAACTGAAAGTACTGTATTTGGGTAAAATGACCATTTGCAACAAACAAACTACAATATATATATATATTATGATTATAATACAAAACATCTCTGTCACCCCATAAATCAGATTTTCGAAGGTCTCTGTTGTCAAAAAGGGTTGAAATCACTATGTTTTGGTTTTGTAAATTCTAATTTTAAACTGAAACAAAAATCAATGGTACACATGTAATTTTCATTCATAGTTTGTCCTCTCAGTAGGTTCATAGAATATCATTCATTTGGAAAAGCTGGTAAATTTTTTATTTGTTTTCAGTCAAACTTTTAAATGTAGATTGCAATTAGAAATGTTCATTCTTATATATATATTGGACAAATAAGCATTTATATTCATGAACACTATTTGTCCATTTTCCAATGTTTAAGTATACAACATTGTAGAAAACAATTTCTTTTTATTTGCAGGTGATATAGAATTATAATTGTTTTGTTTATTCTACTTCTAGAGAAGGTAAAGTAATGATCATTTTTTAGTTTGTTTTTATGTTATTTAGAAAATAAAACTCATGAGGTGTGGAAGTACAAAAGGAGATGGAGGAGATAATACAAAAATAAAAAATTGGTTGCAACATGAACGAACATTTCATCACTGCATGGGTTCTGAATCGACACACTAAAAGCTGAAAGAGAAATTTCTGAATAACAATAAGTTACCTTTTGTTTGTCATATAACCATTATATATATAAGGAATTTTGTTCATTGCTATATCTCACTGGATCACTTTATCTATAACAGCAAAAGTTGAAAGATCTTCATGAGACATTTTTTAGCTTCATTCTCCTACAGATTATAACACATATTACTGTATTATCCTTAGATTCATCAAAATTAAGGGCAAACACTTGTTTTAAAAATTTTGAGGTCTGATGTAAGAACAGATTACTTTGCACCATTTCTGAACATGTACATACCATGTGACTATTCTCCACAAATAGTATTGCACCATCTATACTGGTGCAACTAGCTTTCTCTGCTATCACCTCTCAATCCTCACTTTTTCATTTGGCACACCATTGTTTAGACGTGTGTGTTTTTTTCACATGTGGCTACTATTTATGAATGTGCTTCTTTGCCTCTTAAATGTTTTTTAAACAGTTTTCTTTTACTGTACTTGCATTCACTAGTTTCAACAATTTTTTTTTTACACTTATTTCTTGTTATCATATTACAAGAAATCATAGTATGAATTTACAATTAATCTAAGTGATGACTTCCCAGGAATTGGGTTTGACTTTATCTACTGAGGTGGTACAGGCCTTAATTTGCAGGGAGCTCAATTCATATATTCAGCTAGTGATGAGACAATGTTTCTGAGGAAGAATATCATCAATGAGTAGACACTTCAGACTCTCTTTTTCTGGTAATTTCCACCTGTTGCTGTGTCACCACATCATTCTCTTTGGTGAGGAATTGTTCTTCTTCCCAGGTGTTCTGTGGAAAGTTTTTCAACATATACTCATGGTGGGCACAGTTCAGATGCCCTTTGTGTGGCTTTGCACTTATTTCCACCTGTTGCTGTGTCACCACATCATTCTCTTTGGTGAGGAATTGTTCTTCTTCCCAGGTGTTCTGTGGAAAGTTTTTCAACATATACTCATGGTGGGCACAGTTCAGATGCCCTTTGTGTGCCTTTGCACTTATTTACACATGGGAGAGTTACATATTTAACATCAGTGCTCGGACTTTGGTAAGGTAAATATTTATGTGTCCTTTGTCATCTAAGTTAATTTTGATGAATTGTACATTAGATGTTGATTATTAAATTGTATTATCGGTAAATTTAATCATTCTGTATGTTTGTTATTATTACATACTATGTAGACTTGACAAATCTTATGGTTTTGTTAATTTACTATTGAAAAAATACTTTACTTAGTTATGTTTAGAATGTGTGCCAATTTCATATCATTATTACTAGTAACATATAATTCGTTGCCCTATTTGAGTACTTTTTTTCTCGTCATTGTTCACCATGTGCCTTCTAATCCCCATTTTCGTCAGTGCAGGACATAATTCTTTATTGTCTAGGTTAATTTAGAGGAATTGTAGGTTAGATATTGTTTAGCAAGGTGTTTTCTAGGTAATTTTAGTCTATTTACACTTTCATTATCATTACATTCTTTGTGGACTAGTTATATGTAGATGGTTTGTCCATTTCTTATTTATAAGTACTTTGTTAAATCCATATTTTTAGGTAGTTTGTACCTTACATTTCATTACTACTAGTAACATATATTTCATTGTTCTATTTGAATAACTTGTTTTGGTGTTTTTAACTATATGCCTTATCATTCTAATTTTTATCAGTGTAGGACTCAGTTCCAAAACATACATACCTCCGCCTATAGCTATTACTCGACCACCAGCGTTTCATCTTTGCCCATCTAAGCATTGGTCTGATTTTTTCTCGCTTGCTCCAGTCTTTTATACCCCACTTGGCAAAATACACTCCAATACACCCTCTATGCTGGTGCTGAAATATAAGCACCTCATTAAGATAATTTTATCACTTTTTCTCGACAAAGTGTCACTAATGGGTTTCCCAGTATTATGATCATTCGTGATACTTTGAACGTTATCATGTTAACTTGTTGATTTTGAAACAATAATTATAATAATTTAAAAAAAAATCTCTAGTGATTAGCAAGCCGATTATGGTATGAATTCCTGGATTATTATTTCTGGTCTCTCCTCTCTAATATCTAGCGTTGCACAGAAATTGGTGGTGGTGGGGTTACTCTTGGTTGAGACTGTCAGTGATCTTATTCGTAATGAGATGGAGACATATATTCGGATCTGTGTTGGTCCACCAGGGAGGGGGGGCTCTGAGGCTGCATTTGAGGGTGATCCTTGGCATTTTGGAGAGTCTTTGAATTCAATTTTTCCAGTGCCTTCTGTTAGTCTGTTGGATTTTTAGCCGCCTGTGGGTCAGTGGTAAGTTTAAAGACTCACAGCACTGGGGTCCAGGGTTCTATTCTTTAGGGTGGATGCGACAGATGACTTTGTTCTTACAAAACAAGGTACTTTACCTCACGAGATGGTTGAAAAGTCTGGGAGCGATTTTTTTCTCTATACATGGAAATTGTGGTTCATGCTGGAATGTTTACTTCTTAGTTATATGAGGTGACATTTAGGCCTTATTTGACACGTTGTCAGAACTTCGTGATTTTGCCTACCACCACCAGGTGGAGGCATTTTTCCAACTCTAAAATTCTCGAATTTCGAGGTTCTAAGGCGTGGTTTGTAGTTCACCTATATAGGTCTATGTCTTCTGATAGGACAGAGTAAGTCTACAGACTTACAATTTACCTTCAATATTTTGAATCCTTTCAAATCTCTTTGTTAGAAGACTCTCATGATAACCAGTTTCATTGAGTATTAGATGGATCCATTGTTAGTGTGCACATTGATTCAATTTTTGTCTTCTCCATTCCTCCTGGTTGTTGTTGGAGTCTCTAATTTCATCAGCTCCTACAGGGGGATCATAGTTCCACCCCTATTCGTGAGTACTGATCTCGACATCAGCTCCTCGGTATATTGGTACTCAGAGGTAATGAATGACATGCATATCGGCCATGTTGTGTTGAGAGGAGGTTGAACCCTTTTTCAATCAGTGATGTCAACCATAACCCGTTTTTTTACTTGGCTCTTTGACAGAGGTTTTTGCATCTTGCACAATAGCCATTGTTTATGGTGGCCTTATCGACTACCGTTCAATTATTGCAACTACATATTTTTGAGTCCCCAGTACTTTCCATTTTTTTCACATCATTTTGGGTAGTTGGTCCCAAATGATCTTTCCCGTTACCTAACAGGTAGATTAAGATTATATGTTCATTCCTGTACACCTGTTTGTGACCTGACTCTTATATGCCCAGTATTCCCTTTACCTGCAGGTTTATTTTTTGTGGCTTCTGACCTATGGACATCCCTGGTCAGAGTGATTTGTGATCTTCGTCCACAGTTCAGTTTCTCATTCTCTCTATGTCTTCAGTCCAGTTATTCTTACCTAACACACTGTCAAACAGGAAAGGGGATCAATCCTCCCACAATATCTGTATCTCACATTATTTGTCTGATCTGGCAGTCTCTTCATTTGAGGGTTTTTGCCTTTCCCCTGTAGCTATGTTAACTATTTCTTCTACATTATCCAGAAAGGTGAATATTTTTATTTCTACCACTTGGGGTCTTTTACCCTGTTTTCACAGGATCCCACTATATGATAAGTGTTGCCCAGACATGTGTGCTTTTATCAAACCAAATCTGTACTAGCAGCTACTATTTTACTATAAGTACTACTGGTTCTAACAGGATCTCTGGCAATGAGGTATTCCATAAGACCACCTAGGAGCTCACCAGGTGGCAATAACTTACTGTGGTGGACCACCACCTATGGACTATCATAAGTAAAGCTAAAGAGAATCCTGCCCATCCCTGCTGATCATCAGATTGAATAAATTGGGGTCTGTTTCCTTGTAAAAATTTGGGGAACTTGGTTCACCTATTGTACTGTTTCCAGAGCACTGTTCTTCAGGACTCTCCACTGTGTATTACTCCCCAGATTCAACTAGTGGAGCTAAGGAGTCTTTAACACACTCGGTTTCCAGTCACTGGGGTGGTGGACAGAGACTTTTACTCCAGAGTATTAGAGTGAATTCCTCTATTCCTGGAGAAAAGGGCAAAGTTGGGGTGCTATCCTACCCTTGTTCCTGGATGTTTTTTCACAGATATCAGTAGGAGTGGTGCCAGCCTAAGCGGGAGCCTACTCATAATACCATTTCAGCTCTGATGCTCTGCTATCTAGTTGGAGTGTACGTGGTCCTTCTTTTTGATCAATATTGGTTCAGTATATTGTTCATGGAAAGAGGTCCACTATCTCCTCATAATTTCGAATGCAGAGTGGTCCCATCCTGGGTCCTTGGTTGAGCACAGTTGTTCCACATCGTCCCCATAATTCTGGGGGCAAGTGGAAGGCTCCTTGCTCACTTGGTTGGGGAGTCAGGATGAATGTTCATAATTCCAGACCAGATGAGTTCTGTTCCTTTGGTTGAGTAGGGCAGACATGATTCCGTCATTCTGAGTTTGGAAGGTTGCCTTTTTGGCTTCTTCAGGTGGAAGAGGTTTGCCCACTTTGCTGTTGCTTACTTTCTTGTCATGTCTCTGGTGGTCTGGAATGTATCACTTTATGGCTACAGGCTGTGATCCAATCAAAATTATATCTATATATATATAATGGTGTGGTCCAACTGCCCTAGCCACCAACATGGGACATAAGGACCAAGACCCCTTAATTCCAATCCCAAGTTGATGAACCTCGGCTATCTGGTTGGGACTGGCCTATAGTGATGATTACTCATATACAGTTCCACCCTTGATACAGGAACTAAGTTCAGAGTGAAGAGCATACCAGTTCTGGAGGTAGTGTGGTTCCCCCACTCAGGTATTACTCTTATCTTGATACTCCCATGTTCTGTGCAGACGTTTTCTGTATGGATAATGCCAACACTGTCTCCTCCACCTTCTTAATGTGGGATTCTAATTATAAGTGGGAGTGGAAGTATGTATGTCTTGAAAGTTAACATTTTCCTAAATTGAAAATATATTTCCAATGATATTCACCTGCTCTCCCACCTTTCCTCCCCATTAAGAGCCGGTGTTAGAGACTGGGATAGTATCATTCTCTAAAAAAGTGATGAAATTACCTGAATGAGGTGCTTATATACAGTACCAGGATAGAGGGCGCATTGACATGGGTGGAGAGTATCACAAGATATATTTTACCAAGGGAAGTTGAGTGGGGTACAAAACATTGAAGCAAGCAAGAAAAAATCAGACCAATGCTTAAATGGGCAAAGATGAAACCCTGTCAGTCAAGTACTAGCTATAAGCATGAGCAGAGGTAAGTATGATTGAAAATACATTTTCAATTTAGGAAAATGTGAACTTATATGTAATGCATCACCTCCTAATTTTCTAAAGTGAGGATTGAGTGGGAATAGCAGAAAGAGCTAGCTGCATCAGTATAGCTGGTGCAATACTTTGTGACTGGAGTGGTGGACCATGGAGCCTTCCTTCTGAGTGAGTTTCAATATTTACTTTACTCATGATTATCCACTCAGTGAGAAGAGGACGAGGCTCGTTAAACTTCTTCTATACAAAGTAACTTATTCAATTCAACATGCATTTCCCCTGGATATTTTTGCCAGCTGGACTTCAATAGAATATCTACATTAATCAGTTGTTATCATCAAACAACCTACTTGCACTTTTTCTGCATGTTTTTTGGCCTGGGTGGACTACTCTAGACAACTTTCTTAATCAATTGATGTCTTCACGTATAAATCATGCGGTCTTCATGCCATAACCACATTGTTATTCCGTTTTTCATACTAGTACAATATTAGGCACAATCCTGTGATAAATGGAACATCCAGAACAACCATCATTTGTCCAGTGCTGTAAGTATTATTACTACATTCAATTGTGCCTGTTTTTCCATTCTGCCCATTTTGTGTTACTTTCTTGTTTCCTTGGTGAAGAGAATACCTGTTCCAGAAGGAGAGTAGTACCCCATTGGTGTGTTTCATTTTCATCTCATAGCACACCCATTCATACTAAGTGGTTGCTTTCTGCTTGGTTTGATATTTGTACACCTAAACCAGCTCTTCCATCTTTACAATGTGGGGTTCTAGCTTTGTGTGAGAGGTAAGACCATTTTGGAAGTTAACATTTTCTTACACTGAAAATGTATTTTTGAGTAGGTACTAAGCTCATCTCACACACTTCCTACCCTTCCTCCCCATTGCCGGTGTTTTTATGTTAACATCTGCCAATTCTCAAAAGTGAGGATTGAGCAGGAATAGCAGAGGGAGCTAGCTGCACCAGTATAGATGGTGCAATACTACTGATGGAGAGTGATCACATGATATGTACATGTTCAGAAATGGCACAGAACTGATGGGGTATAAAGACTGGTTCAGTGGTAGCAAAAAATGTTTAGCAATGCTTAGAGGGCAAACAAGGATTGAGCTAGCTTTGTGAGAGATGAGGTAATTACCTATCAAAAATACATTTTCACTTTAAGAAAGTGTTAACGTTTGAGATGTATTCCACATGCAATAGGATTGTTTGAGATTTACATAAGAGTTTTGTTCACTTTTTTTTGTTTTACTTTGAAGCAATGCACAAATACAAATGTTACTGATTTATTTAGGAAGAGAAAGAGACTGAAAAAGAAAAAGATCGACAGTCCCAAGAACCTTCAAGTGGACAAAATGAAAGCAGTGAGAAGGAAGGGACAAGAAAAAAGAAGAAAAAGAAAAAACCCGATGAAGAAGATGATGAAAGTGGACCCAATAAAATGGATACTTCCTTGATGAATCATACATCAGGTTTAGGAGTGTAAGCTTTATTAAAATCGTGTTTATAGACATAAGCTTGCTTAGGAGATGGTTGAGGTGAGTCATGGCACATTCTATTGAAAGTGAGAAATAAAAATATTAACAATAATCCTTTATTTTAATTTTCTGAAAATAAAATGATACAAGAAATGTTTTCAATATTTGTGGGAGGGGTGGCAGATTTCTAAAACAGTGAAATATATAAATATGGTTAATCTCAATCTTTAAATTGCCAGTGCTAATGTTTACAGTGGCATTTCATTGAAAGATAACTTTAGATTTATACATATGGATTTTTACAGTGATATTTCATTGGAGGAAAATTTAAGGAAAGAAACATAGTCGAGCTTTTGATAAATTCCTTACAAAATAAACACTGAAGATTTTTAAAATCATATATTAAGAATAAGTCACTGTATTCAAAAGTTCAATGCTAATACATATGAAAAAAACTTTAGCTCCACCATTATGTTTAGGTTCGACTTGGCCTAGTTGTTAGCAGCTCCAGACTATAAATATGGGGTTTTATGATTTATGTCCTGTTTATTATGTTTTGGCTGGATATGGCTTAATGGTTAGCATCTTCATACTTTGAATCTGGGGTTTCATGGTTCATGTCATGTTGCTTCACAAAAGTGACAGTCAAATCTCACTATTTGATAAGAGTAGCTCCAGAATTGTCTGTGGATGCTGTTGACAAAATTCCTTTCCTTTTGTCTTTCAACTTAAGATTATGGATGGCTAGCACAGATAGTCATGTGTGGCTTTGTGTGAATATCTGAAATATACAAATCTTTACTGTTTATCTTTACTACAGACTGAACAATGAAAAGGCTAATACACATTTTTATCTAAAATGAGATTTTTTCATTTTTTCACAGAAATCTGTTTTTTTTTTTAAGTCCTTGGAATCTGTTCTTTATGCAATTTGTCTTCTGTGTGAAAAAAATTATATTTCTGGTTGTTTTAAACTTTGGTCTTTCTATCAAGGAGAGGCACACTGTTACATTTCTTGAAAACTATAAAAAAATTTGTTTCTGTCTTACAGTATGCCAAATGCTATCCAGACTGTTTAATGGTATTTATTCACTAATTAAACAGCACAAGAGTAGACTTATGAATTTTTGGATTTTCTTCTTTCATATGTTTTGAGATCATGAATTCTTTAAACGTCATCCATAATCTTCTTTGCAAATAATTTAAGCAGAATAATAATACTATTGAAAGCTATAACATTAAGGCTATATAAGCAGAGACAAAGTATTTCCAACAGTTTTAAACCTTGATTTTTCTAGCTAATTTCTTAATGACACACACACACACACACACACACACACACATATATATATATATATACATATATATATATACACATATCTGAATTATAAAGATTATAACCTGAGCACTTTGAAAGGTGGATCTTTCTTCTTCAAGGGGCAAACATTCACAGTTTGTCCCTGAAGAAGAAAGGTCCACCTTTCTAAAGCATTTGGGTTATAGGGCACTCCACTTTTGTGTTAAATTGATTTCTTGAACTTTTTCTCATCTCAAAAATCTCAAATTTCCTTTGTGTAATCCCTAAAACCTCCTAAATGCATTTCAAACGTTTTTTTTTTTTCAGTAAATTGTTATAGTTTATCTGTTATTTTCTCTACTCTATCTCAAAACAGGATCAGTCAATTCAACCAAACTCATAACCACCAAAAAAAAAATTAAATAAACCTAAATTAACCATTTTTTCTTTCTAGAATGACTTCAGATTGTAACATAAAACTACATTCGTTTATCCTAAGTAGCTCTAAGTTTGTAACAGTATACATCTATATATAAAATAAATTTTATTATTTTATTGCTCTTTGAACTGTGTCTAACCACTATCTGTGCCATCATATGTTGTAAATCACTCGGGGAACATGCAGCTTACATTATGCTAACGAATTACATTACCCATGAGCTGCTCACGTGTGTGCCTTGTGAAACATTTTATTATAATATTATTATTATTTATTTTACCTAATAAAGAGTATACCTGTTACACAAGTAGGGCTATACCCACTGGCGTGCTTTATTATCATATTATAGCACACTCGTTCTTTCAGTGTGGTCGCTTTCTGCTTGATTTGAGATTGATGCACCTTCACCAGTCTCTCCACCTTGGCAATGTGGGATTGTAGCTTTGGATGAGAGGAGGTAGTATCGTTTTGGAAGTTAACATTTTCGTACTCTGAAAATGTATTTCTGATAGGTACTTACCTCTGCTTACCCACTTTCAACCCTTCTTCTACACTGTGATGCCGGTGTTTATGGTTTGTGCCTACCAATTCTTAAAAGTGAGGATTGTTCTTGAATAGTAGTGGGAGGTACTTACACTAGTATAGATGGCGCAGTGCAATTGGTGGAGAGTAGTCACATGATCTTCACATGTTTCTGAAATGGTGCAAAACTGATGGGGTATAAAGACTGGTACACTGTAGCAAAATTTCTTTTAGCAATGCTTAGAGGGCAAACCAGGATTGAGATAGCTTTAGGTGAGAGAAGGTAAGTACATATCGGAAATACATTTTAAGAGTAAGAATATGTTAACGTTACTTTTCAGTAATTATTCTATACATGTTCCAGTCAAAAGTACCTTAAATTCTTTACTTGACGATACCCATGAAAGCAGTAGTATTTTTAATTAATGAATATCGTATGCATCCATCTTCATCTTAACTAGAATATATAGCTGGTTTTGTTCTTTAAAAAGTATTTTTCCACAGATTTTGTTATTAATTCAATTGCAAAAATATTTCAAATTATAGTTATAATGCTACACAATAGATATTTTCTAGTTCAACAGATTCATTGTAAATAAGGTTTGTGATTAACCTGAGAAACATGCAATGTATTTTTATTTACTATTGTTTGTGAAATAAAATGGTATTTTTATTACATCATTTTAATGAAGTAAAATTTTCAATTCAGCAAATTTGAGCATGAAATATGAACGAAAAAACAACTATTTTACGTTTTTAATAGATATAAAACATGTAAATGGAAAAACTACCATCATGAGCTACATTTCTAAAAGCTCATCAGAAATGTCTTTTACCACCTATGTTACAATATTGTATAATTGTTTTCTTTCTCTTCCAGTTCCATGGATAAATGTAGAAAACTTGTAAGTTGCTTCTGAGATTTTTTGTATAAAATACAATAATTTCATAACATCGTAAATTATAGATTATCATTAGGATATAGATTAAATATATTACCCGATCATAAGCTTGTGGAAATAAATGTCCCAACAACAATTTAAACAAATATTAACTGAAGTATTAGGTGGATTACTGAGAGAAGTAAATACTTATTATTTTTATGCAAAAGTGACATAATAAAACAATAAGCAAAAATTGTATTTCAAGGTGAGGATCAATAAAGTCCTAATTTCTAATATTCTTCTTTAAAAATCTTAATTTGTCTTTCATAGTAATGAGTTTTTGTTTTTGTCACTCTAGTGTTTTTATTGTATATTGTAAGAAATACTTTTAATATTCATATTCTAAAAAGAAACTTTGCTATCAGTTTTTATCATTTTATAGTGAAGCATAATATTGTTTATTATTTAAAGGCTCACATACAGATTAAAATAGATTCCTGCAAAGATGAACTAGAGGCTGATGCTGATAAAGGGAAGGTAGATGAAGATAGTTATGGTAATATTGCTGTTTAATGTTTTGTATGGGCAATAAACTTGTAGCCATTTTAATCTTATTGTTTTTTAATGTTCAGTGTTATGTTTAATATATTTATTGCAAGTTTATTAATTTCACAACATAACAGTTTGTACTACTTTAGATCAGACTATGAATATTTAGGTATATAATACTTGAAATATAAATTTAAAGGTCTTTCTGAGAGCTTAATAGGTACATTCTGCTTAAACATATTTAACAGATAGGACTAAAGTGCAAATGACAACATAACTAGTTCACTATAAGAGACTAGACTGAAATGTAAGTGCCACAATAAAATAATACAGAGGGCATAAGCTTGTGGGATAATACAGGTTGATGTAGTTGGTATTTTCAAGGTACATGATATAGACATATTGTGTTGGTGTTTTCAAGGTGTGTGATGTAGTCTTTTTGTGGGGTCATACATGTTAAACTGATTGATGTAGCATTATTGTAGAGTAATACCCTGTTGAGTTGGCTGGTATTTTTAAGGTATGTGATGTAGCCTTATTTTGGAGTAATACATAATAGTTGGTATTTTTTCAAGATACATGGCAAGGAATTATGGTTCAGTAATGCATTTGAGGTTGGTTGGTATTTTCAATGTACATAATGTAGTCTTATTGTGGAGTAATACATATTGATCTGGTTGGTATTTTCAAGATATATGATGTAGTCTCAATGCAAGGTCATAAGGTGTTTTTAGAGTATATTACCTAATCTTGTTGTGGAGTAATACATATTGATCTGGTTGGTATTTTCAAGATATATGATGTAGTCTCAATGGAAGATCATAAGGTGTTTTTAGAGTATATTACCTAATCTTGTTGTGGAGTAATACATATTGATCTGGTTGGTATTTTCAAGATATATGATGTAGTCTCAATGCAAGGTCATAAGGTGTTTTTAGAGTATATTGCCTAATCTTATTGTGGAGTAATACATATTGATCTGGTTGGTATTTTCAAGGTATGTAGTTTAGACTTATTCTGTTGAGTTTGTGGGTATTATCAAAACACATGATGTAAACTTACTGTGAGGTGATCAGTGATTTTAAATACATGATATATGGTAGTATTGCATTTTGAGTCTGTTTGTGTTTTCATGGCATATGATTTTATCATAACTGGTAATTCTAATATGATACCTTACCTCTTCTCGCATAATAGCTTTTTCAACTCGTGCTGCCTTCTATTTGTGCAGTTTTCACTCTCCTATAGCCTTGATGCTCTCACCTACCCTCACGTGATTTCACGTGGTATATCTATCCTGTAGCATGCAAATGAGCATGTGACAACCCTTTACTAATAGGAGTGCAACACACCCTTCTAATGCAGCTGACTCCCTCTATAGTGTAGAGCACTCTAATCATTTCTTGATTTGGCATTCCAATGTTCACTCATGCTCTATTTTCACTGTGTATTTCATATTATTATGTGCAGTTTAACTATAAACTACTGTATTGACAACATTTGTTTGTTGTCATTTCTTTTTTTTTGCTACAAAAATTGTGGAAATTTCTTTTCTCACATTTCTGTCATAATGAACTCTCAATTTAGTATTACAACAATAGCTTCTGGTTTGGATCCTACCATTACTGATCCAATAAGAATTACTACTTCTGTGGCTCTGTGTTCCACACTTTCAGTGGAGGAGGTCTTCGCCTTAGTGCATCCCAATTTAGAGTTTATCATGCAGCCAGCTATGTCTCTAGAACCATGGTAGAAATTCCCTTTTGTTGGAGAATCTGTTTCTGAAGAAGAAAATTTGGACAGCCTTCTGCCTCCTCCTGCCTTTGCTGTGCCTACCTTTTCTACCCCTCTTGATATACCTTGTCCTTCATCTGTATTTTTGGACATAATTTCTCAGGTATGTTACCTCTTATCTATTTCCCCTATGTGTTATAGTTCCTCCCTCTTCCTTCATCATTCTGCCCTAATGTTGAATTATTTAGTTCCCCCCACCTGATATTTGAGTCCATGCTGAACAATTTCTAACCCAATTTCGTTTGAGTGCTAACATGCCTCGGCTCCAACATTTGGCTGACTCCCATGCTTTGGATTCTCAGACATTAAAGTCTCTGATTCAGGCATGGGGCTCCAATCCTGCTACTACACTACGATTTTCTTCAACCCAGTTCTTTTGTCTCTGTCTCACCCTCACAACTATTTTCCATTATTTCTCATTCATTTACCTCCTTTTTGAGGTTATCCATCGTGGCCATGAGTTTTTTTAGCAGATACATGTACCCTTCTTTTTTATGTTGGCACTCTTTTCTTCCTCAGTCTTCCCCCTTCATACATGGCTCCATTGTTTTTGGGATCTCCTTGGCAGGGATGCCCTCTTGTCACATGTGCATCTGCCTGCTTCCTACTTATGCATATAGGGTGCATTTTCCATCACTTGTCTTTGTGCCATGACCTCTCACCTTCCCAACCAAGTGTTCTCGACCTCTCAGATTTTTTTTATTTGTTTTTTTGACAATGGTTTATCTGTTTTTAACATGACGAGCTATAGAGCAGCCGTGTCCAGTACCTTATGTTTTTCCCTTCTTCTGTTGTATTTTTTCCTCTCCTGTCTTTTCTCCTATTGTTTTGCTCCTTTCAACTAATTCATTTACCTCAGTCAATTCTTCTAACATATTGGAATGTTAGTGTTGTCCTTCATGCCCTTACCCTTCCTCCCTATGAACCTGGGCAGTTCACCCCTCTGGCTGGCTTTCCCACATCCTACTACTGCTTGGATTTCAGTTCCTGGGCAGTCTTGTGTTATATGAACGTAGGACCAGCCAACATAAGCCGTCACATATCTGGTTGGTAGGGTCCTTCCTCCTCTTGTGGAACAAACAGAAAATTCTCGATGTCACCAAATTTTGGACTGGAGTTGAACCACCATGTTTGCATTCCCCCTTCCTACCGTTACCTGGATGTCAGGTTTCCAGGTGATTTGGTGTTGATTGTGTAATGGGTCTGCACACATGCCCTGGCTGAGTTGTCGAAATGGCAATTTTTTTTTCTGTCTGCTTCCTGGTTTTGAGGTGAATATGGTTAAGACCCTCCTCCTACTGCAGACCAGAAGACAAATACCTTAAGCTACCTGGTTATGGACTGGAGTTGACCCATCAAATGTGGTCTGACATGCCCTACCCACTCCACACCATCTGGCACGTCCAATTACTGGTTGTACATGCATCTTTTCTACCTGATTTAGCAATATGTACCTTGACAAATGGAAAAGAGTATACCTGGTACAGATGGAGTGCAGTCTCCCATGAGTGTGACCCAATACATTAGGGTGTCACACTACATGGGTTCTCTTCGGACACCTTCTAAAGAGTGCTCCTCTAGGTACCTTTTGCACTGGTCCTTCCACCAGGTGAATGTGGGATTCTAGCTATTATGTGAGAGGAGGTAAGCTATTGTATCAGAAATTAACATTTTTCTACATTGAAAATGTACTTCTGATAGATACTTACCTCTATTCACAATTCCCACCTATCTTTCCCACTTCTGGTGCATTTTTGTTTTTTTTTGCCTAATCTTGAAGTGATGAGAGTGCTGTGCAGGAGGATGTGTTACACTCCTATTGGTGGAGGGTTGTCACATGCTCATTTGCATGCTACAGTGCAGCTATACCACATGAAATCACATGAGGTTAGGTGGGAGCATCAAGACTATTTGTAGTTGTGAGCTAAAACTGAACAAATAGAGGGCAGTACAGGTTAAAAAAAGCTATTACACGAGAGGAAATAAGCATTTATCAGAAATACATTTTCAATGTAGGAAAATTTTAACATCCATATCAATAGAATGTAATGCATTTTGAGTCTCACGGCAAGTGATCTAAATATAAATGGTAAGTCAATATGAAGAAAATGTAAAAAGGATGGTATGAATCCAGCTTCCTTACATCACTCTGAGTTGATACCATTAAATATATTCATGTAATTAATATTTAATGTGTTTGTAAGCATATGTAAGAAATTCCAACTGATTCTTTATTAAGAAACTAAAGAAAGACATTGAGTGTATTAGTACGTACCTGATAGAAATAAAAGTAATTATATCTGGAAAAACTTATGAAGAACAATCAGTGTGTTACTATCAGTAGTAGAAAGAGTTGTTCTGATAATTTAATAAGTTTTAATTACTATATGCTGATAAATGTTTTTCCATCTGCAATATATTTTGGGTCAAACTAGTAATTGAAGAATTTGTTTGTATGTTAATAAGGAATATTGAATGATATTACAATAGAGAAGAAGGAACCTGAGAAAATGAAAGTTGTAAAAGTAGTTTAGAGTAAATAATATTAAAGTTGTAGAAAAAGAATTATTGCAGAAAATTATATTAAAAAAGAAATGTTATAGAAAATTGTAGTAAAATGAATTTTGAAGAAAATAATAGTTAAATCAATCTGCTTTTAATACGTAAATATCCATATTTAATGGTCAATTTGTTTCCAGAAGAGCTTGAAGTTGATGATGAATATGATGAGGATATTGGAGAAGAGGAAAATAAACAGGATGACATAGGGGAAGAAGAAACGACTACTGTTTCCACAGCCCGTCCACGTCGTATTTCAGAAATCAACATCCCAAAAAACGTCTATCCTATCCCAAAAAATTCATCATTTTTTCTTTTTTCTCATACAAACAGGTAAGCTCTTTGTTTGGTCTGAGCCAATAAGAAAACAAAATTTTATAAGATAAGAACTATTATTCGGTAAAGTATATGAAGTCTACATATTTATTTTTACATAAACTGTACACAAATTGCATTAATCTATAACTTTTTTCATTCAAACTGATTTAGACGATTATTTACAACTATTCATAATAGGATTTCAATAGTTGTAATTAGTTACATGATACATAGCTATTATTACATTGGATACATTGTACTGTTTCTCTTTAAAGGAAATATTTATCTTGATCAGTGGTTTTGTGACATCCCGTAATGAAAATAAACCATTATTGTTACAATAATTGCAGGTTTCGAGTGCTATGTCATCAACTCATCAATAATACATACTTTAGTAATATCATCTTACTGTGCATCATGATGAGTAGTTCAACGTTAGCTGCTGAAGATCCTCTTCATGATTACTCTGATAGAAATCACGTATGTATTGAATTTCTCTTCTCTAATGATCATAGGATTTTTATGAAATTGCTCAAATGAATATTTAACCTCAGATCTTATCTAGCATGCTGATTAAGGTTACTGTTGAATTGAACACAGTTAAAATGAAAATGAGACCAAGACACTTAATCAAATTATGCAGTACTTTGTGCTACCTACAAATGTTATAAAGATTAACAGTTTTCTAAGCTCAAATCAAGTGTGCTCGAAAGCTCTTTGGTTCTGGATTAAATTTGACAAGGGGGAGAGGGGAATGAAATATATTGATCATGAAATTAAAATCATTGTCATGGATGACTGAATTGTTTAGTAAACAAAAGCCATTCATTGTTTTCCTGTTACTAGTGGCTAGATCTAAAATGTTGTGTAAGTAAATCTGGTGCAGAAGTTAGAAATATACCAGTAATTATTCTACACATTTGTTTCTTGTAATGAATAACATATCTAATAGTTTCGGTTAATTTGTTGAGTTGTAAGGTCATCTTTCTTAGAAAACCAATGAGAGAAAGCCTACTCAAATTATTAATCTGAAATAGAATAACATTTAATTATTTTATTTGGTCAAACAATGTATTTTTTCACACCTTCCAGACATATTGTTAGGTTTCACTTCACATTAATGTTAATGGTAGACACTAATTATTTTATTTGGTCAAACAATGTATTTTTTCACGCCTTCCAGACATATTGTTAGGTTTCACTTCACATTAATGTTAATGGTAGACACTAA